GCAACCGGAAAGAACAGTGATTGCAAAGTGTTGCAAGTGTCGCATGCGAAAGACAAAGCCCAAGCTCCTGTGCTTGTGCATTACAACGGCTATGTGTCAGATGATGACGAGTGGGTCGGTGCAGACAGGTTTCGCAGTAGGTCTTTGATCTTCCATGAGGCCAAACTTCCCAGTGAGACTTCGAAGAGCCGGCAAAGCCAGCTGGCCACAACTGGCTCTGATGTCTATACTGATGGACTGGTGTCAAAACCCCAGGATGTTTTAGTTGATGGGAGCGCAGAATCGAAGTCAGTTGGCCGCATTTGGCTTGCCGGAAGGTCTTCATGGGAAGGTCAAGATTCTGGTGCGATGAAGCGCTACAAACTCCACGAGACCAGAATAGCCGCGGTGCAGCGAGGTGCAGAGCATGTGGGATATCAGACCTTTGCGGGAGACCCTCCCATCATTGCAACTGCTGCTCAGCACTCTAAAAGGAAGCCTACAGCACATGCTGCATCCCCCATTGCTTTGCCATGGTATGAACATGACTCTGAAGCTGACGCCTCGGACGCTGCTAATTCACCACGGTCCGATAGGCCACTGGGCCCGCGTGAGGAGGACAGTGACGGTGGTTCTGATACCTACTCAGAGCCTCCGATTCCACCATGCGATGGTATTGAGTCATCTTGTGCTGCTGCGCCCAACGACTGGGAAGAGCGCATGGCCAGACAGACTCTTGCTTGCAATGATTTGTAAACATTAGCAAAAGAAGGGAGCAGTGAGGTACTAAGAGAGATTAGTTCTTGATCAGTGATATATTTTGATCAGAATTAGATCCTTTGAATTTTCTATTGACAGAAAGGATTTGTGGTATAGAAGTGGACAATCCAAGGCCATCCACCTTGGACTCCTTGAAGCAGCTCCCAGGGCTGGTGGTCTTTGGGACCTTCCGATCCACTGGTGGCAAGGAGGCGTTGAAACGTGGCCCGGCCATACCATAGCTGCCTCTGCGTGAAGATCTTTGATGACCACTCAGTTGAGAACGAAACAACATGTAACAAGATATGTCCATCCGTTACAGGATCACATGTCAATCATTGAGCACACATCCGCATTGGCTCCTCGGGCATACAACAATTACAACACATGGCCTTGCCGCTTTGATGGTCTTGTCATGGTACCTCGCACCCACACTTTGAACTTCCCTCGTCTGGGCCCGGCGCCATCAGGTGCTGGAGAGGTCATTGTTCATCGTGGTCCTGCAGCATTACAAGGTTGCAAAGTCAGGATTTGGGGCAACAAAACCCGGGGTCCCACTTGGGACTTTGACCGATGCTATGTGCAGATCTTGGATGTGGCAACCTCAGCTTTGGCTGCATAGTTTGCTTGTGTCCTCACATTTTGCTTGAAGCCTGCAGATATTTACAACTATTCTGCACATCAAATTAAAGGCATGCCATCCGTAGGTTTTTCTTGAAAAAACGCTAAGGCTCGTGTTTGGGGGCCTAGCCGCAAACCATCACATGGAAGTGCGATTGATGTGGAAAGGACTGGCTGAAGCTGCTTATGTTCGTCCTTGGTTGCTCTGGTTTAAAGCTCATTGAGGTACAGTATCCACTTGGAATGGAACAACCCACCGCATACTGTACAAAAAGCTTCTCTAGCGACTATAAAGCATTCTGGTGCAGTGCAAGAATGCGGTCAGGAATTGCCCTCTCCTTGGAGCTGTGTCGCGAAGCATTCATAAATGAAGTGGACGGTAAGAAAGAACACCTAGCTTAATTTCTGCCCTTTGCCATTATTTGCTCTTGCCTAATTTTTGTTTGGGCGTCTTTACTTTACACTTTGTGACATCCCAACACTGCAAGTATGGATACAGGATGGAATTCTTCGGATGCATCTGGCATGCCATAGAATTTGGAGTTCCCCGGCAGAAGCTCTTTGTGTGCATGAAGCCGAAAGTGGTGCACAATCCGAAACACGTGCCTTTGGCTTCACTAATTTTGCTGTCTTGATTAGAAAGCAGACAGTACGCACTTCAATTTAAAAGTGAATTTGCATGACGTCCTTCCAGATCAGACCAGAAAACGATCTGCCTTTTCGTCCCAGTCTAAGGTTGCATTCAAGCCGATCAATGGCAAACTTCCAGCCATCCAAGTACCCTGGAAAACAGCCTCCAAGCTTCCAGGCGGCCATGATTTGCATGTGGCAGCTTGATTCAGATGAATGATGCCCTTGTTTTGGGTGTTGATGGTCTGGCATTCTTCTGTGAAAGATTGGTAACTGGTACATAGCAGCCACGCAGTTTCCAACGCTGGTTCTTGAACCTGTTGTGTAGCATGCCATGTTGGCAAGGGCAAGGGGTGTGTGTTTGCGGATCGATGCACGTGGACATTCAAATGACATTATATGATAATGACATTAATGTACTGGACTGTAGGCAAGTTTGGGGCTTGAGAGGTGGATCTCCGAGCTGATGGTTTGCAAATGACTCGATGCCAATGCCGCGTGTCACATGTCGCATTTGCATAGGCTTGGCGGGCCCAGGGTCATACCGAGGTAGAGGTGTGTGATTGGAGTGGCGATAGCTGCCCCAGGGGCCGTTATTTGAAGGCCTTGAAGATGAAATCACGCCACACCGACATGTCCATCCTCAAGGCAGTTCAGACCTTCGCCAGCGTTTCAAATTTGTTCGCAATCATTTCAGCTTCGTTGATGCTGGATGCTTTACCTGGCTAGAATGAGAAGGTCAAAATTGCTTCTCACAGGTTCAATAGTTTCAGAGGTAGGAGACTCCCAGATTTGCAGCGTCTTGATGCCTGCCTCAGTTGGATCCTGAGGATCTCCCTGAATTTCTGTGACTGGCCGCGGGGCGATCCAAGAAACGAGCTGACAGTGGACTTTCCGCAGCCTGCAAGGAGCATGCAAACCTGACGTGTCATGGGTGTATTGCTGTATTGGTGAATCAGAACGGCTGAGCCCACATGAAAGGGGCATCAGACGTTGACACGCCCGACCTTAAACCTGAACTATCCAGGACTTGAGGACAAACGGGTCATCCTACTAGCGGCAGGGCGCAGGTCTTTCACTGGCCTCCGGTTAGACAGCAATATAATGATAGAAGGAAGGTTGTTCGTGGTAGTTGCGCACCAATGTATCGTCCCTCTGCTTAAAAACAAGGTGGGCCAGAGAACCCAAAAGCAAGACGGCACGCCCTTTTTCTTTAAATCGTGTGGTGTGGGCACCTGTGCTCTGCACGAAAACGACGTAAGATCTTTACTGAAACATCGTGCGCACTGATGGTATCAGGGGCCACAATTCACCCACAGCATGCTGTGTCAGCTACGTCTACATTCTTCTAGTCGCTATTTCTGCTAATGTAATTAACTTTATCCCATCTTTCTAGTCGCTATTTATTTCTGGGTTCTCGTTTAGTTTGCTTCGCCGCAGAGGGTGCGAGGACGAAGCCTGGACGGACAGAACACCGTGCGAAATGAAAACTAAACGACGGAGGGAGTTGACCAAAAGAGCATGAAAACGAAGATATGAAGGTGACAGATGGTGAATGATCATGAAAAATGAGACATGATGAAAGATGGGTAAAGACTTCTCTGTATAAGAGCTTCCTTGCATAAAAGCTTCTGTATGTAAAAGCTTCTGTGGGTAAAAACTTCTCTGTGTAAAGTTTTTTTTTGTGTAAAAGCTTCTGTGTGCAAAAGTTTCTGTGTAAAACGTCCTCTGTGTGTAAAAGTTTCTGTTTGTGAGAGTTTCTTTGCGTACCAGCTTCTGTCTGTAAAAGCTCCTCTGTGTTAAGGTTTTGTTTGTGTAAAGCTTCTGTGTGCAAAAGTTTCTCTGTATAAAAGACTTGTCTGTGTCAAAGCCTCTGAGTGTACAAGCTTCTCTGTGTAAAAGTTCCTCTGTGTAAAAGCTCCTCTGTGAAAAAGCTGCTCTGTGTAAAAGGCTTCTCTGTGTAAAAGCCTCTGTGTGTGCAAGCTTCTCTGTGTCAAGACTTCTTTGCGTAAAGATTTCTCTGTGTAAAAGCTACTCTGTGTAAACGCTTCTGTGTGTAAAAGCTTTCCTGTGTAAACGCCTCCGTGTGTAAAGACTCCTCTGTGTAAACCCGTCTGTGTGTAAAAGCTCCTTTGTGTAAAGTGTTTTTTTTTGTGTAAAAGCTTCTGTGTGTAAAAGCTTCTGTTTGTAAAACCTCCTGTGTGTGAACCCGTCTGTGTGTACAAGATTCTGTGTGCAAAAGCTCCTCTGTATAAAGACTTCTCTGTGTAAACGCGTCTGTGCGTAAAGGCTCCTCTGTGTAAAGACTTCTCTGTGTAAACGCGTCTGCGCGTGAAAGCTTCTCTGTGCAATCTGTGTAAGACTTCGCCTTCGCTGTGTAAAAGCTACTTTGTGCAAAAGGTTCTGTGCGTAAAAGTCTTCTGTGTGCAAAAGCTCCTCTGTGTAACGGCTTCACTGTGTAAACGCGTCTGTGCGTAAAAGCTCCTCTGTGTAAGACTTCTCGGTGTAAAAAGCTTCTGTGTGTGAAAGTTTCTGTGTGTAAAAGCTTTCCTGTGTAAAAGTGTTCTTGTGCAAAAGCTCCTGTATGTAAAATCTTCTCTGTGTAAAGGTTTTTTTGTGTAAAAGCTTCTGTGTGTACAAGCTGCTCTGTGTAAAAGTTTCTGTGCGCCGAAAGAGCGTCTATTTGTAAAACTTTCTGTGTGTAAACGTGTCTGTGTGTAAAAGCTTCTGTGTGTAATCTGCTTTGTGTAACGACTTCTCTGCGTAAAAGCTCCTCTTTGTCAAGACTTCTCTGTACAAAAGGCTTCTCTCTGTAAAAGCCTTTGTGTGTACAGGCTTCTCTGTGTCAAGACTTCTCTGTGTAAAGACTTCTGTGTGTAAAAGCTACTCTGTGCAAAAAAACTTCTGTGCGTAAAGGCTTCTGTGTGTAAACGTGTCCTTGTGTCAAGACTCCTCTGCGTAAACGCGTCTGTGTGTCAAAGTTTCTGTGTAAAAGTTTCTGTGTAAAGGCTTTTTTGTGTAAACAAATCTGAGTGTAAAAGCTTCTGCGTGTAAGAGCTTCTCTGTGTAAAAGCTTTCAAGTGCATAAGCTTCTGTGTGTGACAGCTTCTCTGTGCGTAAACGTTTTTGTGTGTAAACACTTTGTGTGCAAAAACTCCTCTGTGTAAAGACTTATCTGTGCAAACCCGTCTGTGCATAAAAGCTCCTCTGCGTAAGACTTCTCGGTGAACAAAGTTTCTCTGTGCAAAAGCTTCTGTGTGTAAAAGCTTTCCTGTGTAAAAGTTTCCTTGTGCAAAAGCCTCTGTGTGTAAAAACCTCTCTGTGTAAAGATTTTTTTGTGAAAAAGCTTCTGTGTGTGAAAGCTGCTCTGTGTAAAAAGTTTCAGTGCGCCGTAAGCGCTTCTGTGTAAAACTTCCTGTGTGTAAACGCGTCTGTGTGTAAAAGTTTCTGTGTGTAAATCTCCTTTCTGTAGGAAGGACTTCTCTGTGTAAAAGCTCCTCTGTGTAAAGACTTCTCCGTCTAAAAGCTACTCTGCGTAAAAGCTTCTGTATATGGGGGCTTCTGTGTGTAAACGCATCCGTGTGTAAACGCTCCTGTGTAAACGCCTCTGTGTGTAAAAGCTTCTGTGTAAAAAACTTCTGTGTGTAAGAGCTTCTCTGTGTAAAGGCTTTCCGGTGTAAAAGCTTCTGGCTTTAGAAGCTTCCGTGTGTAAAGCCCCTCTGTGTGTAAACGTTTCTGTGTGTAAAAGCTGCTCTGTGTAAAAGTTTCTTTGTGTAAAAGCGTCTGTGTGTAAAAGTTCCTTCCTCTGTGTGTACAAGCTGCTCTGTGTAAAAGCTCCTCTGTGTAAAGACTTCTCTGTGTCAAAGCCTCTGCGTGTGCAAGCTTTTCCGTGAAAAAGCTCCTCTGTGAAAAAGCTGCTCTGTGTAAAAGGCTTCTCTGTGTAAACGCCTCTGTGTGTGCAAGCTTCTCTGTGTCAAGACTACTCTGTGTATAAAGACTTCTCTGTATAAAAGCTTCTGTGTGTAAAACCTTTCCTGTGCCTGTATAAAGTTTCTCTGTGTGAAAGATTCTGTATGTAAAGTCCTCCCTGCGTACAAGCCTCTCTGTGTAAAAGATCCTCAGTGTAAAGCTCCTCTGTGTAAAGCTCCTCTGTGTAAAAGCTGCTTTGTGTAAAACCTGTGCCAACAGCTCCACATTTTCAATCATTTTCAGTGCGGCTCCCTCCCAGCAGAGCTCTTCCCAAGCTATTTCCCCACCTGTCCGTTCACGGTGATGCATATCCTATGCTTGGGTTATCGTTGAGTTTGCTTCGCTGCAAAGGGAGCGAAAACCAAGCATCGACGGACAGAACGCCGAGCAAAATGAAAACCCCTCCAGCAAAGAACGTTTTCCCATGCATGTCCGGCATGTCCCTTTGCCCTGCGTTTAAGAAGTCTTGGGCACCAGTTTTTCGGGACAATTGCGTTGATGCTGAAAAATCCGTGCCAACAGCCCTGCTCTTTTCGCCTCGCTCCCGAAGCTATGCATGTCCCATGGGCCAGGGTTTGGAAACCCTGGCAGGTCTTGGGCGCACAGTTTTTTGGAACAATCGTATTGATGAAATTTGTCCTGAAAAACCCGCGCCAACAGCAGTGCATTTTTAGCGTCGCTCCCTGCCAACGAAGCTATACATGTCCCATCGCCCAACGTTTGCAAACCACTTGAAAAGTCTTGGGCACACAGTTTTTCGGGACAATTGGATTGATGGAATTTTTCCTGAAAACCCGTGCCAGCAGCTCTGCTCCTCAGTACGTCGCTTCCTCCCAACGGAGCTCTCCCCAAGCTATTTCCCACGGTTTCCCCTCCGTCCACCCTGTCGTCGCTTCAATCTCGCTCCTTCCCCGCGGAGCTCTCCACATGCTATTTCCCACGGTTTCTCCTCCGTCCACCCTGTCGTCGCTTCCATCTCGCTCCTTTGCCACAGAACTCTCTTCAAGCTATTTCCCACATCTTCCCCTCCGTTCACCTTGTCGCCGCTTTAGTATCGCTCCTTCCCTACGGAGATCTCCCCGAGCTATTTTCCACGGTTTCTCCTCCGTCCACCCTGTCGTCGCTTCCGTCGCTCCTTCCCAATCGGAGCTCTTCCCAAGCTATTTCCCACGGATTCCCTTCCGTCCACCCTGTCATTGCTTCCATCCCGCTCCTTCCCAATCACACACCTATCCCCAATTTCCCCTCCGTCCACCCTGTCGTCGCTTCCATCTCGCTCCTTCCCAACGGAGCTATCCTCAATTAAGCATAATTAAGCTATTTCCCACGGTTTTCCCTCCCTCCACCCTATCGTCGCTTCCATCTCGCTCCTTCCCAACGAGGCTCTCCCCAAGCTATTTCCAACGGTTTCCTTCCCGTCCACCTTGTCGCCGCTTTATTATCGCTCCTTCCCAACGGAGCTCTCCCCAAGCTATTTCCCAAGGTTTCCTTTCCGTCCACCTGGTCGTCGCTTCCATCTCGCTCCTTTGCCACAGAACTCTCTTCAAGCTATTTCCCACAGCTTCCCCTCCGTTCACCTTGTCGTCGCTTCCATCTCGCTCCTTCCCGACGTAGCTCTCAAGCTATTCCCCACGGTTTCCCTTCCGTCCACCCTGTCATCGCTTCCATCTCGCTCCTTCCCCACAGAGCTCCTCCAAGCTATTTCCCACGGTTTCCCTTCTTTCCACCCTGTCGTCGCTTCCACCTCGCTCCTTCCCCGCGGAGCTATCCCCAAGCTATTTCCCACGGTTTCCCCTCCGTCCACCCTGTCGTCGCTTCCATCTCGCTCCTTCCCCACGGAGCTCTCCCCAAGCTATTTCCCAAGGTTTCCTTTCCGTCCACCTGGTCGTCGCTTCCATCTCGCTCCTTTACCACGGAGCTCTCCCCAAGCTATTTCCCACGGTTTCTCCTCCAGTCCACCCTGTCGTCGCTTCCATCTCGCTCCTTCCCCACGGAACTTTCACCAAGCTATTCCCCACGGTTTCCCGTCCGTCCACCCTGTCGTCGCTTCCATCTCTCCTTAAGCTATTTCCCACGGTTTCCTCCGTCCAGCCTGTGGTCGCTTCCCGCGGAGCTCTCCACAAGCTATTTCCCACGGTTTCCCCTCCGTCCACCCTGTCGTCGCTTCCATCTCGCTCCCTACCAACGGAGCTTTTCCCAAGCTATTTCCCACGGTTTCCCCTCCGTCCACCCTGTCGTCGCTTCCATCTCGCTCCTTCTCAACGCAGCTATCCCCAAGCTATTTCCCACGGTTTCCCCTCCGTCCACCCTGTCGTCGCTTCCATCTCGCTCCTTCCCCTCTCGTCGCTTTCATCTCCATCCTTCCCACGGAGCTCTCCCCAATGCTATTTCCCACGGTTTCCTCTCCGTCCACCCAGTCGTCGCTTCCATCCGTTCCCTCCCAACGGACCTCTCCCCAATCTATTTTCCACCCTCTCGTCACTTCCATCTCGCGGCAAATGCAGCTAGACGAGAACGCAAGCATCGGAGATGCTTTTGGGAAAAAGAAAATGTTATAAAAGCACCATTCTTGAAATAGATGTGCGACCTGTTTGAACCACTCTATCAGGCAGCTCGCACCTTTTTCTAAATTTGCTCTTCCGCCAAATTGGCTTGGATGCACGCTCCCACAAAATTTTGAGCGTGTGGCCACGGAGCCGCTTCACCAAGGATAAACTGCAAAAAGGCCAGGGTGGAATCCCGAGAAGGGCACCAAGGACATGCATTGCGCAAATTGTCCCACACCCCACGAGAACGTGGGCAAACCAGTAAGGTGCGCAATACCCCCACTGAAACGCTACAAGCACACCAATGAATTGTAGTGGTAGCTCAGTGTATCCAAAGCTACGGGGCTGAAACGACTGGAATCTAAGTATCTCAAGCTACGGGGCTGGAACGGCTGGAATCTAAGTATCTCAAGCTACGGGGCAGGAACGGCTGGAATCTAAGTATCTCAATGCTACGGGGCAGGAATGGCGTAAATCTGAGTATCTCAAGGTATCTCAAGCTTTTAAATTCAAATTTAACCTAGATAAATGACAGTTATGCGCTTGGAGTGACCCAGTTTATGCGCTCTTAGTGACTAGCTTTTCCGCTATTAGTGACCCTATTTTACCCGGTACTGTAGTGGCCAACGGCCAGTGATGCGAACCAAGCTCCAACTCCGAAAATTTCGCCAAATGACTGAGCTGCAAGGCAAATCTGAAAGTTCCCATTCAAGTTTGAAGGAAAAAACATGAAGCTGAGACGGCGAGAAACCTAAACCAATCAAAATGTCAGAGTAAGTGAGTTGAAGTTGGTCCCTGCCAGATTGCTGTAGTTGGGCAAAATAATCTGTTTGCGGAAAGTGGAACGCATATACTTCCTGAGGGATGGGTTCTGTTTGGCGGACAATAGCATTTCGGGGGGAAACTGGGCATAATCTTGCAGTCGAAAAGATGCTTGAGCGTAAGTCCCAGCCACACTGCGCCACCACTAAGTGATGCTTGAGTTCGCGCTGATACCTGCAGCCCAGAGTTCCCTTGCCCCACCTCCACAGCAGCATTTCTGAATCGCTCTGGGGGCCATAATTAGGAAAGGGGCAGCGGACGAAAGCACCGGATGAATTCGGACAAGGATCTGAGAAGTGAGAACAGGAACAGAAAAAGCCATCCACATTCAGCCGCATGGAACATTCTTCAAAAAGGGGCCACCCCTTGGCTATCATTTGAGAGAGCAATCGCTCAAAAGAGAGATTCTTATCAAACAGAACACCAAGGATTGTTTTGGACTCAACCACTTTGCAATCCAAAGATCAAGACAAGGGCTATCAAAAAAATGCCAAAACAGAAGTTTTGTTGCGTCCGTAGTGAAACTGAGTTTTCGTTCGGGGAGCAAACTGCGAACAAGCCGAACCTAAGTGCTTGTTGACAATATCACGGATGTGTCCAGGGGACGAGCATGGAATAGTTGTGTCACCAATATATTGCAAGGGCCCCACGCCTGTAAAGCCAATTGCGTCCAGTAAAAAGCAACGATCCGCAAATTTAGGCAAATGAACCAAAATATCCGCAAGGGTTTCAGACTGGCGGACAGGGGGTGAAGTTTTGCTGCGCAAATGTCCAAAAATCTAGGATAGGTTGAAAGAAAGCCCTTGGGCTGGGCGGACTGTGAAAATCGCAAGCAGGATCTGCAAGGTCGATCTTATTAAAGCCATTATAATAGGGTAAGGTACCCAAGCAGAAACACCAAACGGAATGCGACGTTCAACTTCATTTCTTAACCAAGACAGCAAACTGTTAGATACATTGACGCTCGGCGTCCTTGAGCAGTTCCGCAACCTAAGACAAATGCTTTGGAGAGGAAACGATGCACAAATGGATACATTGCTAGTCGGTGCGTAGAATGTCATCAAGCAACAGCCAGTCAATCCCGGCAATTCCGGCTTGAGCGCAAGCTAGCCGCATGTCATCTAGTCGGACAACATCAAACGCCGATTTCATGTCAAGGATAACAAGATACAATGGCAAGCCTTGGTAGTTCCATGTAGTTCCTGAGTTGAGCAAGAAAAAGAATAGCTAATAAGAGCAACTGGCAACTGGAGGTGCCACTAACCTGCCCTAGCCCCGCGATCCCCGCGAAAGTTTCCAGTGCCTGACGGTTCTTCTGTAACCAGAGCCCGTCAATAACATGGGCCATACCTGCTACCAAAGAAATTGGCCTTAAACAGCTAACGGATTTCACAATTCTACCTCCACTTTTCCGAATATGCGAGAACTGTCGGAATGGCCACATTGTTGATGTCAGGCCCATGCAGCGACTCAAATTGACTCATCGCAAGACTTTTGAGCAGAAACCGCCACCCATTATCCTCATTTTTTCAAGAGTTTGGCTTCTTGTCATCAAGCAGATGCAGTATGTCATAGTTTCAACATGTTTCAAGACAATCTGCAGGAGAAGGGTCGCAGATAGTGGTTTGACCGTGGGCATCTCACATCCAGATCTACCCACTGGCATGCTGATGTCCTGCGGCGAGGACGAATTCTACATGCACGTGCTGGATGTGAACGTGAACTGCCTTGGGATCATTGTGCGATTTCCATTTTTTGGGTGGCCTAGGTATTTTTGGTATTCCCACTACCAACTGTGATGTTGTGGGCTAGGGGGGTACTTTGCTCCAAGCATCCTTCAAAACTATCTGCGGCCGTCACAAATCAGGCGTATTTGGATGCTCTGGGGATGGAGAAGGTGGAAAACTTGCTACGGCAACGGTCGGTCGGAGCATGGTTTCTGGATCATCTCGACAACCCCTTGGAGGCCAACTTGCCGCTCTTTCCGCCTAACATTGAGGCCAGGACGTAGGCAGGCACCGATGACTTTGATAATTTGTAAGATGTCTTTGCTCTGCTCATGAACAGAAGTCGAAGAGTGTCTTTAAGGCTTTGACTCTGACACAGTCTTTGTGCCTTGTGTGGGATGTCAAAAGTCAAAAACTGATTTACTCAACACAGAATCTGGATGCTGGCACTCAAAAGCAATTTCCAGAATACACAGCTCAGATTGCAGCAGACCAAGCATGGGAGGCGCAGCTGACATTCAAGCCGGGAGTAGAAAGGCATGCAGTGACCTTCACCATCCAGGCCACCCTGTGGAAAGCGCCTTGTGGTTGTTGCGGTTGGGGATCCGGAACTTCCGCAGATCTTGAGGATGTCACTGTGTCTGGGGACACCAGGGGGGTCTGGATGTCCAGGTGCCTGAGTTCAAAGTCTCCGCAGTGGACGAAACGACTGTGCGATGCAATCATATTCTGAGCCCCCAGGAGGCCAGGGTGAGGGAAGTCATTTCGTGTAGACTAAGGCCACAAAATATTGAAATACAGCCGTGTCTGAGCACAAGATCGGTGCATGAAACTGATCCACCTCTATTTGGAGATAAGCTGAGATAGGTTCTTATCCAGTGGAGATATTTGGACAAATCACAAAGAACTGGCTGCAGCCAGAGGCTGGAGTCATGATCCTCTCGGACAAGGGAGGTGATGTTGGCCAAGTGCTCCGAAGCCTGCATTCCCATATGGCGGAGATTGGGAGAGCTGACCTTGCAAGAGGAAACGGGTCCGCCTTGGAACATTTGTTGGTAGCTACTTGCCTGTGATTAGCTTGTTGAGCTGGTTGCTGATTCAACTCTTTAGTCACTTTAGTCTTTAATCTCAATTGTCAGATTTATTGGGGACTCACAGATTGTCTATATTTTCCCGACAGCCATTGACAGGGTCCCGATCAAGGTAGGCTCGGCTAGGTCAGGCGGTTTGGTGAAATCCCAGAAGTTGTACACTGTACATGGTTGAAGACTCCAAGTGGAGGTTGTGGTAGACAGTGTTCCCGGAACTCAAGACTTCGGTCGGCAGATTACTCACATCAATAGACTCATATGTCAAGTTATCATGTGATGTGATCGTTTCCAGGAACTGATTTTGTGCTTAGTTCGGTTCCGGATTCGCTAGTTGAAGGAGTTGGTCGATCTGGCTCGGGCAGTGCTGACCACCAGCTGTACCCTATTTTGGAGGGATCAACCACCATAGGGCAGAGGTGGTGGGGACATCTGTAGGTTCTTTGGACTTGTGCCAGCACTCAACGCTACGGTACTGTCGATGTATACAGTATCAGTGGCATTTTTTTCCCCAACAGCGTAAGCTAATGGGGTCTTCAGCCCAGAATAGCTCCGGTGTGCACTGGTGCGGGCGCCGGGTCAGGTTCAACGAGATTTCAGAGAAGGTTCCGAAGGTTCTGGAGAAGGCTGGGAGGCTTTGGTGCAGAACCAGGTCAGGTTCAACAGGGTTCTGGAGAAGGTTCCGGAGAAGGTTCCGGTTGCTGCTGCTGGTGCTGCTACTGCCACCTGCTGCTGCTGCTGCTGCTGCTGCTGCTGGCTTGTTGCTGCCGGCTTGCTGCTGCTGGCTTGCCATGGAAATACACGCTCCCGTGTTTACGGTGAACGCGTGCTACGTTCCTACATAACTTGGTATGGCGACTGGAATTTGGTGACAACAATATTTTCTTTATGCAGGATTCGGGATTTGCTGCAGAATGGTGGAATAACATCTGGGAACGATGTGTCTTATTACGTTTTTGACTACTTTTTGGACTTTGCATGATGGTGCAAAGGATTTGAAATGAACTTTATGGACAAGAAGTGGCCGGTCAGGTTCAACAGGGTTCCGGAGAAGGTTCCAGGAAGCCTTGGTGCAAAGCCAAGTCAAGTTCAACAGGGTTCCGGAGACAGGGTTCCGGACGAAGGCTTTGGTGCAGAGCCAGGTCAAGTTCAACAGGGTTCCGGAGAATGTTCCGGTGAAGGTTTGAGCGGCTTTGGTGCAAAGCCAGGTCAAGTTCAACAGGGTTCCGGAGAAGGTTTGGGAGGCTTTGGTGCAGAGCCAGGCCAGGTTCAACAGGGTTTCGGAAAAGGTTCCGGAAGGCTTTGGTGCGGTTCCAGACAAGGTTCCGGGAAGCTTTGGTGCAGAGCCAGGTCAAGTTCAGTGTGGTTTCGGTTCGGTTCGGTTCGGTTTCGGTTTCTAGTCTTCACGGTCGCTTCGCGACGAAAACCGCCCGCACCAAGTGTACTGGAGTCGGGAAGTCTAAGGAGTTCGTCGTGCGACAGACTTGTGTTCCCTGTGTTGGGCTTATATGGAGCCCACTTGGAGGATGTTTGGCCATATTGAACGTTTTTTCCCCAGATAGCTGGCAAGCTATGGGGGTTCTTACTTCTCTAAGGTGGGGTCTCCGGTGGCGAACTTTTGAGCCAGGGTGCTGTGCAGGGTGCTGTGCAGGGTGCTGTCCAGACTGCGGTGGCGAAGTCTGGCAAAGGTGCTGTGCAGGGTGCTGTGCAGGGTGTTGTCCAGACTGCGGTGGCGAAGTCTCGCAAAGGTGCTGTGCAGGGTGCTGTGCAGGGTGCTCTGCAGGGTGTTGTCCAGAGTGCGGTGGCGAAGTCTGGCAAAGGTGCTGTGCAGGCTGCTGTGCAGGGTGCTCTGCAGGGTGCTCTCCAGATTGCGGTGGCGAAGTCTGGCAAAGGTGCTGTGCAGGTTGCTGTGCAGGTGTTGTCCAGACTGCGGTGGCGAAGTCTGGCAAAGGTGCTGTGCAGGGTGCTGTGCAGGGTGCTGTGCAGGGTGGTGTCCAGACTGCGGTGGCGAAGTCTGGCAAAGGTGCTGTGCAGGGTAGGGTGCTGCGCAGGGTGCTGTGCAGGGTGCTGTCCAGACTGCGGTGGCGAAGTCTCGCAAAGGTGCTGTGCAGGGTGCTGTGCAGGGTGCTGTGCAGGGTGCTCTGCAGGGTGTTGTCCAGAGTGCGGTGGCGAAGTCTGGCAAAGGTGCCGTGCAGGGTGGTGCGCAGGGTGCTGTGCTGCGGTGGCGAAGTCTGGCAAAGGTGCTGGGTGCTGTGCAGGGTGCTGTGCAGGGTGCTGTGCAGGGTGCTGTCCAGACTGCGGTGGCGAAGTCTGGCAAAGGTGCTGTGCAGGGTAGGGTGCTGCGCAGGGTGCTGTGCAGGGTGCTGTCCAGACTGCGGTGGCGAAGTCTCGCAAAGGTGCTGTGCAGGGTGCTGTGCAGGGTGCTGTGCAGGGTGCTCTGCAGGGTGTTGTCCAGAGTGCGGTGGCGAAGTCTGGCAAAGGTGCCGTGCAGGGTGGTGCGCAGGGTGCTGTACTGCGGTGGCGAAGTCTGGCAAAGGTGCTGGGTGCTGTGCAGGGTGCTGTGCAGGGTGCTGTCCAGACTGCGGTGGCGAAGTGTCTGTGCAGGGTGCTGTGCAGGGTGCTGTGAAGGGTGCTGTGAAAGGTGCTGTACAGGGTGCTGTACAGCGTGCTGTGCTTTGGTTTGCACGTTGGGAACCGTCAGTTCCAACCTTTCGGAATTGGAAGTTCTTTGCAATGGTAACCTATGGTTCCCAGGTTGGGAAGCATGAGTTCCAACCTCTGGGAACCGGCAGTTGCTTGCAATGGTAACCCATGGTTCCCAGGTTGGGAACCATGACTTCTAACCTGTGGGAACCGGCAGTTCCTTGCAATGTTCCCACGTTGGCAAGCGTGAGTTCCAACCTTTGGGACCCGGCAGTTCCTTGCCATGAACCAAACGCAAACATTCTGGTACCGGCCCATTAAGCAAAACAAAGCGTTCTTTACCGGTCCATTAAGCAAAACCATAAAGTTGTAAAGAAACTGTTTTCATATCATTTTGACTTGCACCTTTTTCGTGCAAAAACATTTTTGTGCCGGCCCAGCAGCCGGAGGCAAACATTCCGCTACGGTCCATTAAGCAAAACAAAAGGTTCTGTTACCGGCTCAGTAAACAAAACAAAACAACATTAAGAACCATGAGTTCTAACTTTTTGCAATCAACAGATCCTTCCACTGGTAACGTTACTTTTTCAGGTTTGGAACCATGAGTTTCAATATTTCGCAACCGGCAATTCCTTACAATGATAGTTGCTTCGCTTCGAAAACATAAGTTCTAACTTCTGGGAACCGGCAATTCCTTGCAATGGTAACCTCTGGGAACATTGGGAACCGTAAGTTTCAAGGTCTGGAAACCGGCAGTTCCTTGCCATGGTAACCTTTGGTTCCCACGTTGGGAACCGTCAGTTCCAACCTTTAGGAACTGGAAGTTCTTTGCAATGGTAACCTGTGGCTCCCAGGTGGGAACGGGCAGTTGCTTGCAATGGTAACCTCTGTTTCCCAGGTTGGGAACCATGCGTTCCAACCTCTGGGAACCGGCAGTTCCTTGCAATGGTAACCTGTGGTTCCCACGTTGGCACGCGTGAGTTCCAACCTTTGGGAACCGGCAGTTCCTTGCCATGAACCAAACGCGAACATTCTGGTACCGGTCCATTAAGCAAAACAAAGCGTTCTTTACCGGTCCATTAAGCAAAACCATAAAATTGTAAAGAAACTGTTTTCATATCATTTTGACATGCACCTTTTTCGTGCAAAAAACATTTTTATGCCGGCCCAGCAGCCAAACGCAAACATTCCGCTACCGGTCCATTAAGCAAAACAAAAGGTTCTGTTACCGGCTCAGTAAACAAAACAAAACAACATTAAGAACCATGAGTTCTAACTTTTTGCAATCAACAGATCCTTCCACTGGTAACGTTACTTTTTCAGGCTTGGAACCATGAGTTTCAAGCTTTGGGAACCCGCAGTTCCTTACAATGAAGCCGCTTAGCTTCGAAAACATAAATTCTAACTTCTGGGAACCGGCAATTCCTTGCAATGGTAACCTCTGGTTCCCAGGTTGGGAACCGTAAGTTTCAAGGTCTGGGAACCGGCAGTTCCTTGCCATGGTAACCTTTGGTTCCCACGTTGGGAACCATCAGTTCCAACCTTTAGGAACTGGAAGTTCTTTGCAATGGTAACCTGTGGTTCCCAGGTGGGAACCGGCAATTGCTTGCAATGGTGACCTCTGGTTCCCAGGTTGGGAACCAGGAGTTCCAACCTCTGGGAACCGGCAGTTCCTTGCAATGGTAACCTGTGGTTCCCACGTTGGCAACCGTGAGTTCCAACCTTTGGGAACCGGCAGTTCCTTGCCATGAACCAAACGCAAACATTCCGGTACCGGTCCATTAAGCAAAACAAAGCGTTCTGTACCGGTCCATTAAGCAAATGCACCTTTTCCGTGCAAAAACATTTTTTTGCCGGCCTAACAGCCAAACGCAAACATTCCGCTACCGGTCCATTAAGCAAAACAAAAGGTTCTGTTACCGGCTCAGTAAACAAAACAAAACAACATTAAGAACCATGAGTTCTAACTTTTTGCAATTAACAGATCCTTCCACTGGTAACGTTACTTTTTCAGGCTTGGAACCATGAGTTTCAAGCTTTGGGAACCCGCAGTTCCTTACAATGATAGCCGCTTAGCTTCGAAAACATAAATTCTAACTTCTGGGAACCGGCAATTCCTTGTAATGGTAACCTCTGGTTCCCAGGTTGGGAACCGTAAGTTTCAAGGTCTGGAAACCGGCAGTTCCTTGCCATGGTAACCTTTGGTTCCCACGTTGGGAACCATCAGTTCCAACCTTTAGGAACTGGAAGTTCTTTGCAATGGTAACCTATGGTTCCCAGGTTGGGAAGCATGAGTTCCAACCTCTGGTAACCGGCAGTTGCTTGCAATGGTAACCCATGGTTCCCAGGTTGGGAACCAAGAGTTCCAACCTCTGGGAACCGGCAGTTCCTTGCAATGGTAACCTGTGGTTCCCACGTTGGCACGCGTGAGTTCCAACCTTTGGGAACCGGCAGTTCCTTGCCATGAACCAAACGCAAACATTCCGGTACCGGTCCATTGAGCAAAACAAAGCGTTCTGTACCGGTCCATGAAGCAAAACCATAAAATTGTAAAGAAACTGTTTTCATATCATTTTGACTTGCACCTTTTTCGTGCAAAAACATTTTTATGCCGGCCCAACAGCCAAGCGCAAACATTCCGCTACCGGTCCATTAAGCAAAACAAAAGGTTCTGTTACCGGCTCAGTAAACAAAACAAAACAACATTAAGAACCATGAGTTCTAACTTTTTGCAATCAACAGATCCTTCCACTGGTAACGTTACTTTTTCAGGCTTGGAACCATGAGTTTCAAGCTTTGGGACCCCGCAGTTCCTTACAATGAAAGCCGCTTAGCTTCGAACACATAAGTTCTAACTTTGGGAACCGGCAATTCCTTGCAATGGTAACCTCTGGTTCCCAGGTTGGGAACCGTAAGTTTCAAGGTCTGGAAACCGGCAGTTCCTTGCCATGGTATATAACCTTTGGTTCCCACGTTGGGAATCATCACTTCCAACCTTTAGGAATTGGAAGTTCTTTGCAATGGTAACCTATGGTTCCCAGGTTGGGAAGCATGAGTTCCAACCTCTGGGAACCGGCAGTTGCTTGCAATGGTAACCTCTGATTCCCAGGTTGGGAACCATGAGTTCCAACCTCTGGGAACCGGCAGTTCCTTGCAATGGTAACCTGTGGTTCCCACGTTGGCAACCGTGAGTTCCAACCTTTGGGAACCGGCAGTTCCTTGCCATGAACCAAACGCAAACATTCCGGTACCGGTCCATTAAGCAAAACAAAGCGTTCTGTACCGGTCCATTAAGCAAAGCCATAAAATTGTAAACTGTTTTCATATCATTTTGACATGCACCTTTTTCGTGCAAACACATTTTTATGCCGGCCCAACAGCCAAACGCAAACATTCCGCTACCGGTCCATTAAGCAAAACAAAAGGTTCTGTTACCGGCTCAGTAAACAAAAAACAACATTAAGAACCATGATTTTTATTTTTTTGGAATCAACAGATCCTTCCACTGGTAACATATGCTTTTTCAGGTTTGGAACCATGAGTTTCAAACTTTGGGAATCCGCAGTTCCTTACAATGATAGTTGCTTAGCTTCGAAAACATAAATTCTAACTTCTGGGAACCGGCAATTCCTTGCAATGGTAACCTCTGGTTCCCAGGTTGGGAACCGTAAGTTTCAAGGTCTGGGAACCGGCAGTTCCTTGTCATGGTAACCTTTGGTTCCCACGTTGGGAACCATCAGTTCCAACCTTTTCTATCTGGGGTCTATGCCGGTGTAATTTAGCACTTATTGGGCACTTTTTAGCTCCGTATGAGGCTATCTTGGCCCCATATGAGGGTATGTTGGATGTTGGCCCCATGTGAGCCTATCTTAGGCTCATGTTGGGCCTATGTTGGGCCTATCTTGACCCATTTTTGGCCTACATTGGCCCAGATCAAGAATTTTGACTCCTTTTGAAAAACATGCAAAAACACAGGATTCTAGAGCAAAAATGCCCCCCCCAAGCTAAAACTTATTAGCTATAATGCAATTGCTAACGGTTCACGCAGGCACACAAAAAACGCCTCAGCACCTTCGGTGCGGGCGGATTTGGTATAGGCCCGGTTCGGTTCCTGTTCGGTTTCGGTTCCTGCGGTTCCTGGTCGTTTTCGGTTCGGTTCGGAAGGTTCCGGAGAAGGTTCCGGAGAAGGCCCTGGAGGCTTTGGTGCAGAGCCAGGTCAGGTTCAACAGGGTTTCGGAGAAGATTCCGGAGAAGGTTCCAGGAAGCGTTGGTGCAAAGCCAAGTCAGGTTCAATGGGATAAAACGTTGCGGCTGTTGGTCATACCACCGAAGCTTATTTTCTAGCGCCGATTTGATTTTGGAATACGGACACTATGTCCACTTCCTAAACTACAAATTTGATCCCCTTTGCATACCATGGTGTTGCTTCACTGAGGCGGTTTCCATTCCAGGTCCACTTTTAGCGACGCAGCAACTCTTGCACAGCTGCATCTCCACGGTGGAGCGTTACATCGGAACAACTTTGGCTGCTGATGCCTGGAAAAAGCTCTTGGACGACGAGGAAGATGCAGAGCTCACGGTGAGATACGTCCATGGCCGGGCTGAACCTAGCACACGGAAGGTCATCGAGCGGTTGCTTCGGGTCAAACAGAGTGACCGAGACAAGGACATCCACATAGAAGACACTTGGAGCACTTGAGAACTTTTAGAAGACTTGTTCAAGGCTGAGTCAAGTCTAATTTTCCAAGTTTTTTCCGCGCAGCCAGCATCCAGTGTTCCTTCCTCTCAGGATGTGATAGGGACGCTGAGAGAGATATTGCAGCAACCGGGGCTCACGAATGCGCAGAAGCATGCCATGCGCTCTTCCTTCCTCCGGCGTTTGCATGCTGCACTTCCAGCTGCTTACTACGAGGTCATCCCAGCATCGAGTGAATATTCCAGTAACACAGGCGATTGGTGGCATCCGGAGCCCCGATTCCACGTTGCGCGCTCAGTCTGAGGTCAAAAAGACATATTTTTTACAATGCCAAACGGTGAAACAAAAACAGTGCATTTGCCTAAAGGCCATGGTGTGAACCTTTAGTGGAAAGCAGTTTGGGTTTGGTTTGAACGCCAGTTTCAGTTCCTCCGGGTCAGAGAACCCAGGCCTATGGTCAGCAAGATGAACTCAATCATACATTACCACCCAATCATGCTAAATTCTGCAGATCGCAATCGCAACCAGGTCTGAACAAATCTCAATGCCGCATAATCCCGTGCCGTTGCTGAGCACGGCAAACATCTTATGTGCACTGCAAGACTGAGGTTACGTCTCCGTTGCATCGCTACATCGACATTTTGGGGATGAGAGCTTTGAAGTCTCAGCTTGGATGGACTGCTTCGAATCCTCATCTCCTGCTTTCTCGAAGGGACTTCGAGGAGGCTGTCGCTCGGACCAACTGCAGGATTGCTGCAGAAAGCTTCGGGCGGCACATCTTTCGGACCATCTCCAGGATTCTCGGCTGAAGCAACTTATCACAATCCAATCTCATGACATTTCCCTCGCGGAAAAGATAACGGTTCTGTTCCTGAATATTCACTAACAAGGTCAAACAAAATGGTTTGGCCGTTTGGCCTAGATCCTCATGCGCTCTGGCTTTTGGCACTTCAGCTTGCACAGGAACTAAAACGCATATGGAATCGATGCGAATTCTCGTCAGGATCTTCAAATGGCTGTAAAGGATACAGGAGAAGACACTACACTTTCACAGTCATGTACTTGGGACGAAATTATGTAGCGATGTAGCACCAGAACGCATGGTTCGTGAACCTGGACAGAGGTTGTTGATATACATCGACAATACCCAATAGTAGTGTTAGTGGGCATCGTTGATTTTCTATCACGAAACAAAGCAGGACATCTGGAGCATGTGAAAAGCTCAAATTTATTTGAGTGATTTTGAGATATTTTCTAAGTACATTTTTCCACTAAGGATGCGAGAGCTGTCTGGCAGTGGCCAGAAGGTTTCGGATGCCGTGATTGGAGCAGTTGGCCCTACCTATATCAACATCTTGGTTCCGTCTGAGAAGGCGCACACTTTGGAGTCTCACATGCAAGATTGAACACACGTGGAAGGGTTTTTTCCATGAGATGGGCAATAGAACAAGCTCAGCATAGATCTCCATTTCCGACATGGATTCATGCAGTACCAGAGCTCCGAGGAACTCCAATTGCCGGTGAGCTCCTTGTGCAGTTCCACCTGTGTCTCAGAGTACGATGCGGTCACCCAGTCTATGAAACTCACAATGCAGAATGACAGGCGGGCACGTCCTGTCAAGTACGTGCCACAACTGGACAGTTGCATGCACGTGCTTCTGAAGATCAAAGAAACCATGGATTGTCTAAGTCTCGAGTGTACAGGGATTTCAGGGTATCAAGACTTGCTCACATGCTTTTTTAATTGAAATGGCTGGTCGGAGCGTTCCCAATTTGCTGTCCGGACAGGGATCATTTGGAGACCTTGCGCATTCGCTCATGGTTTGCCCAACGAATGACCTGCGTGATCGCTCGCAACTATGCCCAGCCCATCCCGCACCATGCCAGCCCCAACTCCATCGTGCTTTGGGAAATCAAGTTCCACGGAGAGAAGGACACTGGTGCTTTGCTTGAAGATGTCAGACTCTGAGAAATTTTCATAGCACGAGGCAAATCAGTTTACCCGGAGAAACTATAAACTCATATGATTCATATATAATTTTGGACTTTAATTTCCTGCCTCGCATCGCACAACCGTGGGACTTTGCTAGGGTATTACCACTGACTGTATGAGCAAAAACAACAATATAAACAATTGGATTTGGACCAGAAGTCGGGTTTGGGAAGACAAATAGCATTGCCAGCCGTCAACAAGAATGAGAGAGCAATCAGCAACCCGAAATCAACCGACTGCCAGCCGTTGACTTAAACTCTATGGACATGTGAGATATACTTCCCGGCTTGATATTGACAGTCACCTGGAAGTAGCAGGCAGGTTTTGATTGTTTTCTTGGTTTTTCCTTCCATTTTGCACTCACCGGTTGTTTGACAGGACTTCATCTTTCCCACCGGTCTGAAGAGCTTTCCGGAGTCCTTCTCCTCCTGGCCGGACCTCACGGATTGGCCCTTGCTGGACCGCAAGATGGAGACCTACTCGCAGGTGGGGTCGGAGGTAGATTAGCTGGCTGCACACTTGAGCAGGCAGCAAAATCGTTTCGGTGTGTGACAGGATCAGACTTTTAACTCAACTTATCCAGCCAACCCAGTACTTCTGCGAAGGTGAATCTGGGATGAATGGAGCTATGAATAGCTCTTCTCGCCTTGCAACAGCTGATTTGAGACAGATTTTTTTTTGTGGTTCTGTGCGGTCGCCTGCGACGTCTGGCTCTTGATGTTCTCGCCCATTTGCAGGTGTGGTCCCGGATCAAACTGTGCCAGGTGCAGTTGGCTGGTGCAAAAAGAGTGGGGGATAAGTTATTTGATGAAGGCGGCACAAGGCGGCCGGCTCATAGCACTCTGTTCTTGTGGAAGAATGTGCATGACACCCGCCTTGTTTTTTGCTTCTAGGTCCACGCTGCAGCACTGTCCAGCGATGCATACACCTCAGCAACTTCTGTGAACGACCTGAAGTGGTTCCGCACCAGTGGCGCTTCGCACTTCGAATGCCAAGTCGAGGTGAAGCTATTGCAGTACCAACGGCTCCAGCCAGGCGATTTGGTGGTTCTAAGCTTGGAGCGTGCTTGTAGACCCATCAGCTTACAGGGAATCCTTTTGAAGGCGAAGGGAACAAATCAGATGCAGGCTGTGGAAGATGGCAAGAAGAGTTTCATTGTCCAGGTGGAGCTATCAAAAATATCCGAGCTTTCCCGGCAAGCACAGGATTTCAGCTTGGATGGTGCTTCAACTTGGCGTTTGCACTTCATTTTGATCCCTCCCAACGAGAAGAAATGCATCCAACTGCTGCAAGACATGCCAAGGTCTTGCCCGTTGCAAGGCATGCGCTTGACCATTCCGAGAAGCACGAAGGAAATCAAAAGGGAGATGGAGATGCGACCCTTGGTCAGTATCTCAGAGGCGAGGATGTGCCACAAACCCATCCATGATAATTCAAACCCATCCAACAATGAGCCAGTCGTGCCTTTCTTTGAATATTCTGCCTGTCCGCCCTTGGTAGGTGACGCATGCAATGCACTCGACCTCCAAAAGCAAGCTGAATGGAAAGCAGACGTTGGCCATTCAGAGGGCCCTGCAGAGGCCGTTCTCAATGGTTCAAGGGCCTCCAGGGACGGGCAAGACCTCCATGCTCGTTCAGTGCGTTGCTGCTCTCTTGACAGCCTCAAGACCGCGTTGGAAAGGCAGGTTTGGCGCAAAACGCACGCATTGTTTGACCCCTGACAGGTTGAGAAATATGGATTGAATTGGTAGCCAACCAAGTGGTTTTAGGGTATTAGTATTGCCACACAAGGCTCAACAGAACATAACGGAATCATTGTTTGACATGTGGCCGTCTTATAACTACAGACCACAGATCAGAAGGATGCTTGGTGGGTTTTGAATTTGCTGCTCAGATGGCCGAATCTTGGTCTGTGCACCATCCAATCACGCGGCCGACCACATCTTGGACAGATTGATGAGTGCTGGCATACCGCCCCACTACGTGACGCGAGTATATTCGAGGTTTATTGAAAGATGCCATGGAAGCGGGTACAAGGGTGGGACAACTTAGATTTGCTAAGAAAGAATTTGTGTTTCGCCAACTCTTGGCCTTGATTAGGGGTTGGCTTACCCTCCACATTTTCCTTTCAACGGAAAAGCGGTGCTTCATTTGAGGACAACGAAGTCAGAGGGAAGGTTTGAGATTCAACCGCACCTCCAAGAACACGCACTCCACTGGAAAGTGAGTCAGTCCCCCAAGGCCAGCTGTCTAAAGGATCGATCTAGATGCACCGGGGATAGGGCCGTGCATCTCAAAAAAAGCTCTTACTACAGCATCACTAAATTTCTTCTCACTAACTCCAGAAATCTTTCATACTGCATGTTGTGTTGAGTTCGTCCACGTAAAGGCATCATGGATGTCCTTCATATTCATACCTCCTTTGTGCAAGGTTTCGGGTTTTCTCAATCTCAGTAGAACTATATGTCAAAGTCAGTGCGAAGGTGGGGAAAGTGCTGTGCCCAAGTGATCATTTCACATGTCGAAACTGGCTCAGGTGAAGTTTCTCCCCTGGGGAAGGAGTCAATACACCTTCAACAAATCTTATGAATCTGGAGAGGTGCAAATCCTTCGTGATAGCCGCATTGTGATCACAACATGTATGAGTGCATCTTGGCTGAATCTCAGAGAGTGATTGTTGGTGGCTCTGGAGACGTCGACCCAACTGAGTCAAAACCTGTGCCTTATACGTCTATGAAATAGGAATGCTGGTGTTCTCAGAGAAAGGGACCACCTGAAAACAGATCCCCCTTTACACTGGGACGCGACAGCCAAATTGTGATCACATTCACGACCGCTGCTCAGCTAGACTAAGAGCTGTCCTTAGATTTGCGTCGGGGAGTTTTTCGGGTGCATCAGACCAACCGGCTACAACATAAGATTCACTATGGGTGCAAAGAAAAACACATCCCGGGTGACCAAACAATCCAAGCAGCCGAGGCTTATCTCCACACAGCTCTGGTGAAGGGCGAACCGCCCCACGTGGTTCGCCCAGTGAGCTTCGACAGCATCGTCATCGACGAAGCGGCGCAGGCCAGCGAACCAGACATCGTCCTGCCGGCCACGTCAGCCAACTGCCGTGTCATCGTGGTGGGAGATCACAAACAGTTAGGCTGGGGGCGGGGCCTCAAAGAATCACGGGAAGCGAAAACCGTATATCAGCCAAGGTGAAATGTCTACATAGAAATAGATAGAACATAGGCATATATACATAGGTTTTGAATACAATTGAATCATTGTTCAGAGGTTGCTTGTTGGCTAGTACCTGGGGGGTTGGCATGCGCTTTCAATATCCCCTGGCTCCCCTGTGCTGTCAAACGGGGTCAGCTGATACATGGCTAAATGTACTACATTTGCTGCCATCCTTTCGCTTGCTCTGTGCGTCCTTTTGGAGCCCAAAGACGCACGTCCCCCCAGGCCCTGTGGTGACAGAGCACAACTTGTGTGCTCCTTATGTCAGCGCTTTGGAGACTCCGTTTTTGGAGAGGATGCACCAAAACTCTCAGCGCTCAATGACGAGCACCATGCTGAATGAACAGCAACTTCGCCGGAGCTCAGAAGATCTCACAATAATTGTGGGACCTAGACACAACAATGGGGTAAGAATCTTAATCACAACATTTCGGCATTAATCATTCACCCAAAAACAGTTTTGGTATTTTATTTTTATTTAATGATTCATAGAAATTTAAGTTAAGAAAGGGAACCTTGTTTGAACCACAATCTTTTGGGTGGCGACGTCCTCCTGCCACTGTCCCTCCCAGCACTACCCAGATCAAAACATTTTGGCTCCAAAGTGTCCCGTTTGTCACAAAATCACACGTCTAAGCCTTCGAGTTCTTTACGTATGTTTGTTGGATGTGGAAAGGTGTTTTTTGATGCCCAAAAAGGTTTGTGATGATGGATCAACATTTGCCAATTCAAAAGAGATCAAACAAGTGCGTCTTTTATCCTTTATTTTGTATCAACCTTGTATCCTGTGGCTCGCTGAATTTTCACCCTCCTTTCAACTAAACCCCGAAGACTTTGATTGCTTAATTCTGACCTGAATTTGTTGAATGACATGTTGTTGGAACCTAGCTTCACACTTCAGCTAGCTGGGCAAGTTGCCCGGAACCAGCCAGTAGAGTCCTACGCAGTTCCAAAGAAACACTGAGAGCAGGGAAGGCGCTCATATTGGTCTGCAAGCGAAACGACAAGTTTTATCCCTGCTGTGCATTTGGAGACATCTTAAGCCACCCAGGTATCGAATGCACCCGTCCATCCGGAGCTTTCCGTCATCGCAGTTCTATGAGTCTATGCTGGAGGATCGGGTGTCAATCTCTCATCGGCCGCAGCTGAACGGCATCTGGCCACAGAAGAAGGAGCTGGGATGATCGCGAAAGTTTCAACGTATTAAACAAAAAGATATCCATGATATCCCCCATATCAGCAATTAAGACCCTTATGCCGCACGCCGAGGAGCGGCTGTATACGGCCGCGGTATGTTGTGTGCCACATGCCTTGCAAGCTGAAAAAAATGATATTTTTGATGCTTAGCTGCGCACACCACAGGATCATCGGATCTTCATCGATTGCCAGACGCCGCAATCCATGGGCCTCTCGCCAGAGCTGACTGGCACCTGTGATGTGGCGTTGATGGAGAGCAAGGCAAGGCATCAAACTTTATCCAGATGGGTAAGGGCTTTATGGAAACAAACAGGAATACCTGAGAACTTCCGGTGTTTTGAGCGCATGCGCTATGGTTGGCAAACAACATTGGGGTGCAGACACAGGACTTGTAGTCATGTTGCAAAGAATCGGTCCTCAAGTTGTTGAGTTAATTGTTTCTGTTGACCTGGTTGTCCACTGGGAAGAATTCCTTCTTTGAGTGCCCCTTCAGGTGTCCCTTAAAAACGTGGGAGAAGCTCGATCAGTGGTGGCCGCCTGTGCAGCGCTGCTGCGGCAAAGGTGCGATCCACGAGACATTGCTGTGATCACGCCATACAAAGCCCAGCAACATGAGATTCGTGCCAGGCAGGGCTTGTTTCGACCTGTGCTGAGCTTGTGCAGATGACCCCCATGGGTTTTCGATGCTCTTTGCTGTTTCAAGACGACCCGAAAGCCACTTTCCCCACAAGGTGTTGCGGGGAAACATTTCATGTCACGTGATGAGCCCCAAGTAATCCTAGATGGCAGAGACCAGCCAAAGTTGAACCACCCAAGCAACCCCGTAAGCATTTTGTCCTGCCTCATTGGCTGAAGAAGAATATGTCTCTATAAAAGGTTGTTGTATAACTAGCTGCTAGCTGCACATGCCATGGGCACTGAACCCATTTGAGTGGTGCAGGTTGGCAAGAGACAAAGATGTTGGCTCTCACTCAAAGTCCATCTTGGTGGGCACCGTGCACGCTCTGCAGGCCACTTCAATCTTCCAATGCTGAGTCCTTGCCAATGTTGGGTGACTTGTTGCAACGAAGAATAGCCCATCACCCGTGGTTTTTCCATGGCCGCCCCAACCGCCGCCTGCAGGGCTCCGAGCGCGAGTACATCATCGTGAGCTTCGTCCGCAGCACCTCGCAGGACGAGGAGGTCGTCACATCCGTGGCGAAGACAGCCGGAGACTCCGTGGCGCTGCAGGAGCTGGGCGGAGAGCCATGCCGAGGTTTCAGACGGTGCTAAGTCTTGAGGAATGGGGTTGAGGATGATGATGGTTGCTACCTGGTCGCTAGACTGGCTAGGTGGCAGATTCAGGAACAACAATGAGTTCAACTATGAGACAGACCTCACTAGTAAGCATACGGATTAAGAATGAGCGAGCCCATGTTTTTTCCCCTGAGTTTGTGATATTGGGTTTGGGGGTGGCACCCTCTATACTATACGACCCTCCAGCAGTGCGCAAGAGTTTCCTGTTGAGAGATCCTGCTAATGGAGGAGATGTACCAGACAAGTCTGGGCATCCTCGAGAACTACCGGGTGTTGAATGTGGCCATCACCCGAGCTAAGTATGGCCTCATTTGCCTCGGGAATGCAGATGTTCTGAGCAAAGGATCCAAGGATTTCAATGCCTTCATTCACAGCTTGAGGAGCTGCAGATGCATTCTGAGTCAAAAGGACTTCAAAGAATCGGTCCGCAAAAGGAGGGCGTGAAATTCACTTTTAAAAGGAGCATAGATTTGGTTGAACTTGTCTGAGCCTCCCAAATCTCATCCGATGTTTGTGTCAGAAAAGTGGTCTAGTTGTCATGTGCGCCCTGTGCGCCATTGATCTTCCAAGGCTTCAGACAACACAGAATTGCTTACAGTGTACAGCTAGAATGGGCACCGCATGAATTGGTGCATTTAGTGCTTAACTGAAGGCTACTGAGGCCTTTTATACCAAAAGCCTTCGAAACTTTAGTTTATCTCAGTGCCAAGACAGGGTGCTACACCAGGAAGAGGAGCTAATGGAATCTGGCCGGAACCAGCTGATTTCACGGCTGCTTGGAACGTGCCCATCAACAGAGCGGAAAAATGATGCGGGTATAAGCCAAAACCAGATCAGTACCCTGGTGAACCCCATAATAATAATAATAGCTGGGATATATGGATGTTCATCCCCCCAAAATTTGCATCAGAGGTTTTGACTCATTCCCATGTAGTACTTCACGTGGGACAGACATTCGCCTGAGGATCTCTGATCATGGTCTTGGCTGCGTGGGGGTAACCGAAGGAAGTTTGGAAGTTAAACTTCCGACAATATGGACAAATGGAAAAGCAGAGGTGGAAGGAGTCAGAGAAGAGAAGAGAAGAGACGAGCCGAGAAGAGAAGAGAAGAGACGAGAAGAGACGAGAAGAGACGAGAAGAGAAGACACGAGAAGAGAAGAGAAGAGAAGAGACGAGAAGAGAAGAGAAGAGACGAGAAGAGACGAGAAGAGACGAGAAGAGAAGAGACGAGAAGAGAAGAGAAAAGAAGAGACGAGAAGAGACGAGAAGAGAAGAGAAGAGACGAGAAGAGACGAGAAGAGAAGACACGAGAAGAGAAGAGAAGAGACGAGACGAGACGAGAAGAGAAGAGAAGAGACGAGAAGAGACGAGACGAGAAGAGACGAGAAGAGACGAGAAGAGAAGAGAAGAGAAGAGACGAGAAGAGAAGAGACGAGATGAGACGAGAAGAGAAGAGAAGAGAAGAGAAGAAGAAAGAAGCTGCAGGTGCGGGAAAAGGTAAAAAATCGCGATTAACTTTTTTCCCATAATTTGTGGCTCCGGAGGGTCGAAACGTAGGCTCGCTAAAGCGGCGGGTGCGGAGCCATCTGGCCAGATGAGAGATGAAAAATTGCACGCCGTTGTGGCGCGAAGCACATTTCAAAGTCAAAAGTGTTAAAGACTGACAGTTTCGGAGCACTCTTGGAAGTTGAGATGTCGAAAACGTGCGCGCCGTTGTGGTGCGAAGCACATTTCGAAGTCAACATGTACAAAGCACCTCAGCTTCGGAGCGCTTTTAGGAATTGAGCTGTCGGAAAAGTGCACGCCGTTGTGGCACGAAGCATATTTTGCTAAAAACTGACGGTCTCGGACCACTTTTGGACGTTCAGATGTCGGTGCGTGTGGCAGGCGTAAGGGGTTGTGCACCCTGCCAAAAGTGAGCAAAACGTGAGGGTTTTGTAGCATGTCAAAAAACGATGGCAGGCGTGGGACATCTGAAGAGGATTTGCAAAGATGCATTCCGAGTGGCAGGCGCAGTACAAGAGACATGTTCATCAGAGATGTTAGGAGGTCCGGGCGCTGATTTCCTGAGAGGTGGAGCATCAGATCTTCAGGTTTGCTAAGATGATTTTGCGTGACAGGTGCAGCACTTTGTATGACCTGGCCTCACTTTTTCGTTGCAGGCACAGTACTTTAGACAGATGGAGTGGACAAATCGCAAAACGCATTGGTACGAGGCCGTCAGCTCTGCACTCAACTTTCCATCTTTGAAGGAAGCCTCGCAGAATTGCTTTGTTTTTGATCTTGTCAACTTTGAAAATTGAGGAAATCTCGCAGACTTGTTTCGTTTTTGACGTTGTCAAGTTCAAAAAATCAGGAAGTTTCGCAGAATTGCCGCGTCTTTGATGTTGTCAAGTTCAAAAACTGAGGAAGTCTCGCGCACTAGCTTCGTTTTCAAGCTTCCAGATAGACAGATAGATAGGTAGACAACTACAACTACACGACACTACTACTACAACTACAAATACAACTATACTACGCTACATTAGACTACACTAGTTACACTACACTACGCTACATTAATTACATCCAATCTAATTGCACTACGCGATGCTAATTACACAACAACAACAGCAGCAGCAACAACAACAACAACTACCACTACTGCTACTACCACAGGTACAAGTACAATTACAACTACACTTCAGTACGCTACACTACACTAGTTACACTGCAGTACGCTACATCTACAAATACACTACAACTGCAACTACACTACATTACACAACACCCCACTACACGAATTACGTTACATTACGCTACAACTACACCTGGAACTGCCACTACAAGTACAACTACAACTACCACTACATTACATTACGTTACACTACGCTACATTACATTACCTTACACTAGACTAAACTACACTACGCTACACTAATTACACTAATTACACTAATTACACTACATTACACTACACTACACTACACCTACACCTACAACTACACTGCACTGCGCTACACTACACTACCCTACACTATGCTACGCTACGCTACACTGCACTGCACTGCACTGCACTACACTGCACTACACTACACTACACTATACCTCACTACAGCACACAACACTACAGTATAGTGCACTACATTACGCTAATTACACCACACCACAACTACAACTACAACTGCGGCTGCAACTACACTACACTAATTGCATTACATTACATCTACAACTCCACTACACTACACTACAACAACGACTACAACTACAATTGCGCTACACCACAGTACATCCAACAGTTGTGGTGAGGTGACCGCTGCAACCATTGCAGCCACTCCAAAAAACACACCTCCAACCACCTTTCGTTTCATCAGTGGATTCGCTCTACCATCAGTGATTCGCAACAACCAACCTCGCCTATAGGTTTCCTATTTTTGAAACTTCCGCCGCCGGCTTGTGCGGTACTACTGGTAGGATTGGGCTGTGAAATCTTGGAGGATGCCGAGAAAAACTATCCGATCGTGAGGCATGTGGCAATCTCAATGCATTTGAGGGGCACTGCGCGATTGCATCGCATAATTTAAACTTGCAGCGCAGGTATTTGAATGAATTTGTTTTCGATTTGATTTGCTGCACCTATAAGCTCTTCGGGTAATTTTTGGTTCAGCACGGGGTCCGCCCGGCGTTCCCCGTGCGTGGATCACCATGGTTGTTTGGCTGAACCCATGTTACAATCGGGTCTGCGTCAACATGGGTCAAGACTGGGTCAAGACTGGGTATCCAAACTTGCATGCTTCAAAAAAATGACCCATGTTTGGGATAATTGCGAAAAATTCTTGAAGGATCGATGAGAAGATTTTGAACCCCAAAGTTGGTTCAGTTGGAATGGGGTTCCTTTGGGAATTGGGGCACCAAACCATCTTCTGAATGGTATAGCTTGAGGGGAGATCGAGGAGTGAAAAAATGCTGCAGACTGCCGGACAAGCCAACTAGGATGAGTCCCAATAGGATGTTCCTCGAACTCTTGAAGCGTAACATTGATGATGGAATACGATGGAATACGTTTTCTGAGTTTCGTTTTCAATCTTGACAACTATGGCAGCGCAATCAAGCCGCCAGCAGTCTCTCAACAACCTCTTGGAGCAATTCAGCGTCTGTTAAACTTGACAACTACGGCGACACAATCAAACTGCCAGCCACTAGCCACTCTCCAATTTATTTTCTCAATGACACCATTTGGAACCGTTGGCTCTTTTGGCCATTTTGGCTCAGCGCGCGCTTCGCCCCGCGTACCGTACCTCTCTGGTGACTTCGCGCGAAACCTCACGTGCGAGACTCACCATGGTCACTTGGCTCAACAAAATTTGGCGCTTGGCTCGGTATTGGTGCTAGTATTAACCCTGGTTGGATATATTTGCCATGGTCAGAAGATGGTATATGGGATGTGGTCCTCTATCCCATAAATGGACGTACTAGGATTCTGAATCCTTATTATATTGGGATATATTGGGCATCAATCCTTCTTGGCGGCATTGTAGCACGTTGTAGCAGCATGTGATGTACAATTTATCCAACTTTCAACCAGGGCACATACGGGTATGGTTGGGCCTGCATATTTGGTACCGAGTACCCTGACAAATAGACAATTCAACCCCAAGAAAACTGATCAGTTTCAATATGTTTTTTGGGGCCTAAGATCTTTGACACACAGGCATCATTTGTTTGCACCATATTATTGAGTTGGTATTTCCCTAGTCTTGAAACCAGAGTCACTTTTTGAGACACCATTCGAAGGGTGATCGCCATCACCTTCACGACCGGGCGATGAGGGCAAAATTCCAAGGCTATCTTCGCTTTCATGTTCTTCAAGCTCTTCATCGCTTCTGTGCCTTTGGCACAAGGACTTGTCCGAGAAGGAACTGTTCAGGCTAGATACGGGGATGTGAGGGAAGTGCCAAGGATGTGGGCAGAATGGTGAATGCAGTGGGATGCAGCAGATTGTTTCTACATTGTTTTGCTGATGATTCGTGCAGAATCCTCATGGAAGCTGAGTGTTTCTGCCATGTTTTCCAGACGTCCAGAGTCCAGTCGGAAGTGTCGTTGCGAGGCGGGTCCAGTTGCCACCATTCCTCTGGACAAGCAGTGGCGTGGCTGAACTTTGGTTTGCTCGATGAGTACTGTAGCTGACATGGGTACGTAAATACCCGCAGTCCCACTTCATTTGTAAGTGCACACCCTCTATTGCTCCGGTTGATGGGACGGCATGGCAACTGTTCTCCAGTATTGTTTCGGGATCGTCCACGATGGCAATCAAAAGTGAAGGTGGGATGGCAAGCAGGTCCTCAAAACCACCAGCCTCTATCATTTGACTGGTGATAGCGGATTGCTGAGGTGCATTCACTCACAACCAAAATTATATTATTTACGGAAAACCTTTGCCAGCAACAACTGGTACAGACTGGCAACCTACAAATCTGATGCTCATATCAAATCTTGCCAGCGCTATCAGGTACGTGCCCGTCATCCGCAATGAAAAGATCGTGTCTTACAAGACTGCCTACTTCGGCAAGATCCACATTGGCGTAGCCAGGACGGCTTGAGTGATGCTGCACCTTGAACGTGGGGAGATAGAGAGAGTCACGCTGCTGCAGACGCTGTGAACACCGCATTATCATGATGTGAGGTGCATGTCTTACTTATTTTACTATGGTGCCGGAGAGTACGTGCTCCGCAAAACCACTGGTTTGGTGTTTCGTCTCCTGACAGATCTCGTCATTAGCATCTCCTCCCCCCTTGCTTATTCAAGACATTTGATTCCAACACTTCTTCAACACTTCTTCAACTCCCACTGTAGCAGAAGTTCACAAACCTCTAATTGGGAGAGAAGAGTGTGAAGAGTGCAATTGTTGGACACTACCTAAATATACCTAAATTAATTCATTTTAAACTCACCATGACCATCTCTCCTTATCCCCATCCCAAGATGCCCACCATGCCAGGCAGCAAACCTTTACAGTGGTGTTCGACACTGGCTACTCAGCGAAGACCAGAGTTGCTGCAGTGCCAAATTGAACCTGAACATTTTGACTTCCCAGTTGGATCTGTATAGATGAATGTGTGCGGCGCATTCACTTCGTTCAGAAAACGACAGCATTCATGCAACGACTTTTGGTGCATTGTCACAACACGTCGCAGCTTCAAATGAGTGAGAACAAGACTAGACACGTTACTTTCCAGGAAAGACATGGAAAGACAAGGAACCTGATATATATATATATATATATTAGATTTTGTGTAATTATTCGAATTCAGCAAGTCAACACGAGGATTGAGCATAGATTGGTCTATTGATGGCTGTGATGAATATATTCTAAACTTGATTCAACCTTGTGGAGTACTTCCATTTTTTATCACCGGCCAATCTTGGAAGGTTCTGACAGCCAAGAGGTTGGGCCCCAAACGGAGTCACCAAGGTAGCGCTCATCTGTTTGTGCCTTCAGCCACCTGCCCGTCACCAGCTTGTATCTTGGAGGGATTGATCAGGGAATGGCCAGGGGAAAAGGTGTCCTCCCACGCAAGGTCAAATTGATAGGATTGGAAAAAGAATAGAGATCTTTGCAGACAATTTTTGGGTTTCCCATATTCCGGGGCTAATTCATAACCAGGTACAAGCTAAGGTGCTTGCAGCCCTCAACTACACGGTGTACACATGACATGAGCCGAACCAGATTGCTGGCAAAGGCTCAACAAGTGCAGAATTGTTAACAAAAGTCTGCTACCCAAAAAATACCTGGTGACCCGTCGCTTTCCCCGAGAGAGCTTGCCCTTCAGCATTTCAGGCACTCGTCACAGGCAGTTTTACCGCAACTTGGCAGAACAGATGATATGAAGCATACCTTGTGCTAGCTGTTGTCAGACTCAAATCAGTTTTTCACTTTGAAGCGAGCACATGGCTATGTCATGCTATATCAAAATTCTGCTCAAAATCCCACACATCTCAAAGATCCATTATACTCCACAGGCACCAATTTTCTTGAGAATCCCATCATGAATCAATTAAATTCCAAGTTTAAGTGCTTAAATCCCCATTTTTAGTGGGTACATATTACCATGTCTAGCCACCTTCTCTGGCTCATTTTCGGCCAGGCAACATGTCCGATTCGGCCATCGACCTGGATCACGATGGAAACCCGGTGAAGAAGAACGCCACGCGCCGGGACCAGGTGAACATTGCCTTTGGCACTGGAGAGGTGTGGATCTTGGGAAGATGGGACTGGGAACCTTTTTGTGAAGGTCTGAGGTCAAGGGGTCAAGGTTCCAAACAATGGGTGAGGAGGAAGGAACACCTGTTTGTTTTTTGAAAAACGATCTTGAAGAAGATCCTCTTGTGCGGTCGATTCCGATCAGATGCTGGTTGCACTGACCTTGGTTGGAGGTGACTGGTGAGTTTGTGCGGGAAACCGTTTGCCTCACTCCTGGTGCCATGGAAACTCCGCGCAAGGTGCGGGGGGCAGGGACCTGACTCCTGTAGAATGACCCTGAAAATTGGTAGATGGAGGATTGGAGGTTGTGATGGACATTCACTGTATAGTGGTATTTTCCTTGACTCCTGAATTTTGAAGTTCAGATTCCCGTTGCAAACAAAACAGTTGGAGCCTTGCGACATCCATTTGTCGCTGGCCCTTCAGTCGCCCTGCGACGGGGGCAGGATTGCACCGAGCTTCGTGTGATTTTGGCGAGCGAGATGACCAAGGCGAAGCGGATGGGAAGCGGATGGTGGAGATGTGCTGTTCATTTGATTGGTTTAGGGGACTTTTTACAGGAAACCTCCATATTTCACAGTGTTTTCATGGCAAAAACCCATGGTTGTCCGGTGTAGATTTTTTTTTTGAACCAATCCAATGAACTGATTGGCTGGAAAATCTGAGGGCACTCAATGCACCCTGGTGCAATTCTGTGTGCTTCGGGATCCCTAATCTCACCAGTTGCAGAGCCTCAATGAAGCACAAAATCTGGTCGGGCCCGCTTGAGAATCTTCCAGATTCCAAGGGTCAACATTTTACCCGACAGGAGCCCTTCATGACTTTCGAGTTTGATGGCGTGTTGGGCTTGGGTCTGGCAAGCCTGGCGGTGGATCCTGAATTCAGTGCGGATCCCAGGGCGCAAGTTGCAGTAACAAAGTCAGCAGTAGAGCAGCCCTGAAATCATGGGCCAGTCAGCAATATGGAAGATGGTATCATTCCATCATTCCGTGGCTTCCAAAGCAGGTTGTTTCATGTTGTTTCCACAGGTTTAACATCACCAAAGTCACCAAAGGCAAGAATGTACCAGCCTGAGGCTTCTTCGGGCAAATGTCCAAGATGCTTCTTGGCGCCAGTGGGTCTCCAGTTGTTCCAAGAATGGGATGATGGTTTGGTGGTCCCAAATCTTGAGACCTCACCAAGCTGGTAGGGAAACTAGACCTGGGTGCGGAGTGCTTGCAAGTCTCAAAGGCATTCAGGGTTCTGAGGCTGACTGCAGTTTGAGTCCTGGAAGTTTCAACCACAGGATGTGAGTATTTATCGGTCAATCTTTGAGTGATGTCGGAAGTGCCCGTCATTTCCGGCAAACAAACCTGTACTGCAAAGTTGTAAGTAATGTGTCAGCTTGAGGAACGGTCTGACCGAGCAGACCTTTGGATACTTCCTGTCGCGAAGCGACAAGGCACATGGCCAGCAGGGTAGGGTGATGGACCCCCAAACTTGAGAGGATTTGAGATGCAATCAAGGTCTACAGAAATTTCAGGGTTGAACATCTTGATAGCTACAGTATCCATATCACAGTGTGGAAGGATATTTTTCTACTAGTATGCATGATTCGGTATCACTCTGTGATTTACCCTCCAGCAAACTAACATAGCTATTGAAAAATGCCATTTATAGTTGATGTTCCCATTAAAAATGGTGATTTTCCATAGTTATGTTAGTTTACCAGAGGGTAAATCCATTCCACCAAGTGGTCGCAAATATCTTCACTCCTCACATCTCCGGGATTGACCGGGGTGGCTTGTTCAGCGCAGGTGCCGAGTGAAATCTCTTTTGGAGGCTGGGAACGAGTTGCCCACGGGCCTGCAGGAATCACTATGTCACTATGAATCAATGGTAGCCAGGCCAAGGAATTTCTTGGAGAAAAGATCAATCCTTTCCAAATGGCTATGGATCAATACCTATAAAAATACCATTTTTAATGGGATGAACATCCATTTACCAGCTATTTTGATGTTCACCAGGGGTACAAAGTTTTGACACACTGCCAAATGATTTCTTCAGATTGAACCCCATGTGCACACCAGCTGACTCTGGCGGTTGAAGCTGCGACAGATTCCTTTCAGGCCACGACAAACGCCGCCTGGCCAGTGATTTGCAGTGGGTTCCCGTGCACAAGCCGGAGCTGGGATATTGGCAGTTGAAGTGCGGGGACCCGGGGTGATGGGGCTGGATTGATGGGACAAGAATTTCGCTGATGCCATTGAGCTAAGCGCCAAGTGGATGTTGAACTGACATGGGATGCCAGGACAGGATCAGTATTTCCGGTGTCAACTGGTGGAATGATGCCAAATGGAGTTTTTACTTCCGTCTTTCTCATGCTGGAGTCCAGCAGTCTTTGGGTCACATGTTTGCGAGTTCTTGAGATACAGTATTCCCACCTGTTTCCAGATCATGCACGCAACAGTGGGTCAAGTCCTAACATGTTCCATATCCCAAGGCGAAACCATCTACTTGGGGTTCCATCTCAACTGCATCCCTGTTTATCTAACGCACGACATGGCCATCCACACATCCACACCTCCCCAACAGGCTTGTGGGTGTCATTGTGGCGGGAGAACGTCTGCCACTCTGCGAGGAGGGTGACTGTGTGACTTGGCCAAGACAGCATCTGGTTCGATTGGATGGCTACACCCCCTGAATGAATTGAACATCGCACCCAAGAATGGCCAGATCCACCAGGAAAATGATCTTCCCAGATGCCATTTTCGGTTTACAGATTGTAAAAGTGCAGAAGTGGAATACATTCATTGTATCCGGAAAGAATACAGGGCTTGAAGGAAAGTTAAGTCAGACAAGGGGAAAACATGGGAAAACATGTTCTGGGCCTGCGATTTCCCATTGATCATTTTGCTGAAGATGTACAGCCATTCTGCCAAGTGCAAGGGTCTGGGGGTTGCCAATTTCGCGTACTGTCACAACTTACCTACGCACTACTGACTGGAATTTCTCGTACATATCTGGTTTCCATGCAGCAATCAGAGATACATAGATTTTCCACGATCTCCCTAACTTCAAAGCCTCAAAAATTTAAAAAGAACACGATGAAATTTGTAGCACCTAGGTGGCCATTGCTGACACGGGCACCTCCCTCTTGGGCGCTCCTCGTGCAGTGACGCAGCGCATGCATTGGCTGTTGGCACGAAAGGCAGGAAGCTGGGCCGCGGCTGTGGCGATGAGAAAAGGACGAAGTCTGAAATTCTAAGTGAAGCTATGAAAGTATCTGAAAGCTGATAAATGATGGGTTCAGAACATCATAAAACCGATCAAGGTGATAAAATGAGAGTGTAAAACCAATGAACGAGGATGAGATGGGGCTAATTGAGGTTTCAGCCAGCAAATAAGGGGGCTGTTGAGGACGGCATCTCAAAGATTGAGGATTGGCATGTTCCACCATGTGCTGTGAGTCGAAGGGCTGGGGTCCGCAGGTGCCTGAGAATCCCGCGGAAATCGACTGCCGCACCTTCCCCGGACCTGAGTCTATGCTGCAGGGGGTGGAGAGATCATGGATCACATATAGCAATGATCCCAGGGCTGCCGACATTACGACGGGGACTGTGAAAAGACCAGGCATGGGCTCCTGTTCTCAGTGGGCCAGGGCGGAAGCCCTCTTCGCCGGAAGCTGCCAGAGGAAAACACATTTTTATTTCCAAGGTCTATAGACCTCCAACAAGATTAAGTATGAAACATGTCAGCTATTCTCCACTTTAAACATTGGACTTTATATATATATATATGACTTGATCACTGACCGCCCCTTGATTTTCTCAAGGGTTTGTGCAAAGATGGGCGATTTCATCAAATTATACCACAGTGTTGTAAACTAACATAGTAACATAGCAATGGAACATCACTATTTTGATAGATACATCATCGGACTAGCCATGGGGTGTGGCTTCCATAGCCATCTTAGTCTACTGGACGGTATTCTAACCAATCCAAGGAGCTCATCTTTGAGCTGGAGGCCGGGGTCAACGTGACCATTGGCGCTGAGGTGCCATGCGGACGTATGGTGGCTGCCGTTGGGTCTGGGGAGTTTGGCAAACCACCTGGATGATCAAAATGGGGATCAAAATTGAAGACCTGGGGGACCACATATTTAAGTTCATTTTTAGTATCACCGATCCAATTATTGGGCTAGCCAAATTTTTATCCATACCAAATATGCATCACTGTATCATAATTTGATTGGCTTGAGGGAAATTTCACAGGAACTTCGATATTTGCTGGAAAAAGCTGTGGTTGCCTGTAGATTTTCAATTTGACCAACCCAGACCTCATAGGAAATTCTATTGATATCTACTTGAGATACATAGCCACTGTTCAATACATGTGAAGTTGGCATCACAGCTGCGGTTCACCACCTTTTTTGGTACCATTGGTGGAATGGGCCTCGGTTGTGCAGGACTACTCACGTGCCACCGGAATGCGCGTGCTGAACAACAAGACCAACACTTCTCAGGTGCCTCGTTGATTGTGCCCTAATGGCGTTTTCGCAATCGACAGACACGTGGGTAAAACATGCTAGAACCCATAAATGGTGATATACGAATACGTGCCACAGTCAAAAGTTGGTAGAATTTCCCGTCAAATCGGGGGATGGTCATCAATCCATTAAATATTCACATCCCTAATTCTTTCTTCTACGGATTCCCATTGTGGGATGGATGACCATATGGAGGTTTCCCAAGTCATGCTGGTACCCCCATCATCCATGGTATTTTCGGATTTTCCATGAAATCAACAGAAATAAACCAAGCAGCGATAAAGGGGTACCCCCATGGAAACCCCGCATCCCAACTGGGAAGTCCCAACTGGGAATCTTCCGCCGCCCAGCTCATCTGTCGCGCTTCGCTGTTGCCGGTGGACGACGGCGAAGTCCTGGGACCCAAGGTGGGTTGCCTTGGGGCCTTGGGGCTCCAGTGGTTTTTTGTGGTTAGTAACCTGAGTTGCCGAAGATGTCTATACCATTTATAAATGGAATAAGCCAAGAATTGGGGACTTACGATCACCAGGTTCATTCATATTATGTGTTAGCCAGTTGCGATGAAGTAGTATCATTGCCAACCCATGGCATTTTTCATGCTGAACATGATGAACCATGGGATTTTGGGTGGACTCATTTGGTGGGTTGAATCTACAGAAAACCGTGGTTTCTACCAGTGGAAAAAAAGGGGTTTCTGGTAAATCTTCATCTTCCATTCATCCAATTTTGGTTGGGGATAAGAGCCCGCTACTTGAAGTCTATTTTGCTAGTGAAACCATGATTTTTGTTGGGCATCCCCCATTTTGAGAAGCATCCAATGGGGATTTCACTAGCAAGTTTTGGCGAATCTTGAAAACTTGGAATTTGCCCATGTCGATTTCAACCATCAAATGGAGACGAATCAAGATCCAAGGGTCTGGAATATGTTTAGTATGAAACGGGTGTACAGTGCACAACAGTTGGTTGCCAACGAGGCAATTTTGGATTCCTCATTCATAATTCATAGTGATACAAATCTGGGTATGGGTCAATACCTATAGATACATTTTTAGTGGGATGAACATCCATTTACCAGCTATTTTGGGGTTCACTATAGGTACCAGGGTTTTGACCCATCCCCATCTACGACTCGTCAACAGCTCCACATGGCAATTCAGTCCATTCCAACTCCACCCAGTGATAGGCTTTCATTCTCGGAGAGCCTGCACTGCGAAAGTACTACACCGCCTACGACTGGTCGGGGACTGAAAACCGAAAAAACTGAGCTGCACTAACATGCACTAACATCTATTTAGCAGACATTTCGGTCATATTAAGATCGATTAAGCACAAACCATCACATTTTTGGAACACACAATTTTCATCCAAAAAACCATCCAGAAATCCAGGTGAGATCAGGGATGGGCTCTCCCAGTATCCCGGGCTTCCCGGGCTGGGCGATCAGTTCCGTCTCAGGAAACGCCAACGCATCGGTTTTGGCCTGTCGGTGTGGAGACTCATCGAGGGAAGCAACAGGGATGAGTGGCTCCAAAAAAGAGACCAATCACCCATGAGTTTTTTGAGGGGTTCCCTATGGTTTGTGGTGAATTTCTGACACTCACCATTTGTGGTGAATTTCATTTTGAGACTCACCATTTGGGGTGAATTTCTGACACTCCCGAAGTTGACTGCAGCTGCGGCTCAGATTCAGCCAAATCCTGAAGAGTACGAAGACATTGAACCACAGCACTCCATCTACGGAGTTTGGGGACCCAAGAGTTTGGCACTGGACGACGGAGGCAGTTGACTAGTCGCTGGGTGCACTGAAGAGCTGAAACTGAGCAGACGCACACTGTGACCTTCAATGAAAGAGAGCAGGAGTAACCGTTGAGAGATTCAAAAGTCCCTTTTCCATTCCAGAAAAATCATGGTATTCCAGGGGAATCATTGTTTTTGCAAGCTTTCACCCTCCAAAATGCCAGGGGTTTCCCATGAATGTTCCCTTTCCAATGCCGTTAGGACCCGCTTGACCCGAGGCGCCGCCATCGGGTCCTCCAGTCCCAACGGAGGTGATGGTGTGATCCGTGGCACCATTTTCCGGCGCCAAGGACAAAAGGATGCGCACGACCCACGGAGGGAGTGGAACTGAGGATATGCTGCTGGTGATATCGTTGGCGATGTTGCTGGTGATGATATGGAGGTCCATTTGGTGCGATCTTCTGGATAGCTACTGGATCCATGTACAGAACCTATTTTGGCTTTTTTGCTGGCATTGTGACACCATGTCCATGTGATAATAAACAACAGACACATCAAGAACGTAGCAGGGAGCAATACTGGTGCTTGCCAACTTGCCAACTTCCACATCTTCAGGCAAAGCCTGCAGCCGCTCCAGCCACTGTCCAACCGAAGTTTTCCAGCTGCAGATGGGCTTGGATATATCATGACTAATCAATCCCTCCTCAAAAGTCAGTACAACATCATCTATAATCATGAGGATATTGGTGAGGAAACCACTGACCAGTTTCACCTTTCCCCACCTTCATTTCTGGAGAGTTGAGGATGGGCTTGATTTGACTTCGTGAGCCAGCCGAAGCCCTCAGTGGTTCAAGCCGATCGGCGAACCCCAAATCGTGAACCGCACCCGCGATCCGCGACGGAACATGCAGGTGACTCCTGGGGGTTGTGGTTGGAAGGGGCTGATGGCTAGAGACATTGGTTGGTGTTGCAGAAACTTGAGAAACTCATCAAAAAGGCAAAGGTTTTGAAATATTACCCTCTGGTAATTTAACGTAGCTATTGAAAATGACCATTTATAGTGGATTTTCCCATTAAAAATGGTGATTTTCCATAGTTATGTTAGTTTACCAGAGGGTACATTGGAAGTTGCTGAAGGAAGTGACGACAAGTGGTTTAGAGCCCACCTGGACGCCAGATCAATTCCGCGACAAGCATCCACCGAGGGGTTCAGGAACTGATCCCCTAAAGTGTTTCTTTTTAGGATCCACAGCGGGTTCTTCTTCAGAATTAACCGTCTTTGGTCATTTTGGAAGCGCCCTACAGCCCACCAGCCTACAGAAGTCCTCACATTCCCAGGTCGAGGAGTTTGTGGCTGATCCTTCGCATGCCATGGGGGAGAGTGGCACGCAGCAGGTGCCCGTGTTTCTGGTAACGGGAAGATACGGGAAGTAACATTGAGTTTTCATGGGGACTTGCGGTCAGTATTCAACTTATTGCCTATAAATGGGGGTCAATATAATATCAGAATGGGACAATAACTGAATTACTGGTCAGTATTCAACTTATTGTCAATTCAGAATTATTTGGGGCTTATAATCCTTGACCAGACCGGAAGTGGGATCATCCACAGGGGGGTGTCTGACACTTGGAGTGACTGGCATCGCAATCGAAGCTGACGGAAGCTGAAGCGTGAAGTCTATCAAACTATGGCTACCCGTATATATATATATAAATATATATATATATACTTACATTCTACTTATGAAGACTCTTGAAACCGGAGCTCATCCAGATGTGATGGCTTTCGGCTCCACAAAGTTTCATATCTTTCATGACTTTTATCGAGTAGACCGTCTATTACTTATAAGATCTTATAAGTGGTTTCTACATGTTTCTACATGATCACTGGGAAGCTAGTGATTATGAATCAATGACCATTCTTGGGATGACACATCTAGCCGCACCATGCCACACTGCCACACCCCACGTTCATAGCAAGTGGCCTCTCTGGTACAGGAGTCGGCGCCAGCCGCTGAGTCCTTCAAACGACTCGATGAAGCGGGAAGACAAGAGGTGGGAGAGGGAAGTTTCATTATGCAATTTTTTCGACATTTTCGACAATGCTTATTAGATGCTGCATTGTGCTGCGCGACTCGGATAGAATAGGTACTGTTCACTGAACCTGTTCGACAACTCTGTATCTGATCAGGCTTGTCAATCTGCTGTGGACTAGTTCCAATTTCCATGACTTGCCACAACTTTGAGGCTTCCCAGTATTGTCCTGTCAGTCTCCCCAGGTCCTGTTTAGTGATTGTTTTTTTAAATTCTGCTTTGGCTCTATTAGCGGATGTTGCCCTTCGGCGGGCACTTTTTTTTTTGTTAGAAAACGTTTCCACACTTTGCCATCGTCGATCATGGATCGGTTCCATCAGAAATCCCAAGTTGTCATCAGGATCACCTTGAACCAGCTCCAACTCGCTTGTGATTCAATCTACTTTGGATGTGCATCCGGAATCACAAGTGGATAAGACATGTTAAGGTGCTTCGCGTGCTGAGAAGCAGCACCACCGTGGAGACAGAGGTGTGGCCAACGCGGCGGTGCGGAAGAGTTGGGGATGGACCATGTTGATCCAAGTTGGAGGTTTTGGAAACCCTGGTGGCTGGTGGTTTTTTCCAATGAAGATTTAATGAAGCATGTTTTGAAAAGGGGGGTACGTATACCATCAAGCAGCATATGTGGCGTGGAATTTTAGTGATTGGACTTATCAAAGCATCATAGACATCCATTTGGGTTCATGCTTTCTCAGCATGAGCACAAAGGTGGGTGGACTGAACACTTGAATTTGGAAACAAACAAGGTAATCCCCTTCAAGCTCTGATTTTTGATGTCCATGAGAAATTCTTCAGTTTTCCATAAATGATCATAGAATATCGTGGAGGTCAGCAAGATTCTGCAGGACATGCAGCATTCTTGGGGATTGCTTGGGACCCATTCATTTCTTCAAGGCACTCAGAATTCCAACTTCAAGATTTTGAGAACAAAGCAGATCCGACACAGGAACATTTTTTCATGTGGCAAATTAAATTTCTGTAGGACTTTGGACTTTATCGATCACCTTGTGACGGTGCCACGGAGGTGAACGAGGTCCTGAACCTCTTGCGAGCGCAGCAGGCGTGGCGCCCAAATCTGTCGTGGATGGTGTGCGCCGCGGTGCACCTGCTGCCGTAGACGGTGGGGAATGATCTCGATCCTTTGCATTGAGAGCATGAGTATGGAACGTATAGAACATGCCCTCTAAACATTGCAGGGTCACTTTCGGGACCTCTTAGGGTGGCCGTGTCTCTGAGTTCGATGCTAAGGTCGAATGGACGGCTTGGAACTCAGAGGACTTGGGGTCTTTCCGTACTGTTGGATCTAACACGTGCAATGTGTAGTTGGCATTGAGTTCAGCCCCCAGCAGGAAAACCAGACAGATGTTTCTTGTGGGTGTCTATCGTAGATTCAGACTGAACATTCCGAAAGAGGCTTGGGAAACTAATTGGAACTCAGATGCTTTTCTTTCCCAATTCACTATGGCCACTCCATTTAACATTTACATACATTTACTAAACTTCATTAAACTTCATATCAATCATCAATCATCAAATCTGTAATCCAATCTTCATCCCAGGGTCCCAAACCTCTCATTTTTTCCGCTCAACGTTGCGCCGGGCCTATCCCGGCCTCAAGCTGTTCCCGAGGTGCCCTCCATGACGAACTTCGGCTGCGAGGTGCTACTGCTGCTGCAGCGCTGTGCCAAGCAGCTGACCTTGGGGACCTTGAGGAGTCGGCCGATGCTGGGGATGAGGTTCGTTGAGGTTCGTTGAAAAAATCAGGATGAATCAGGTCACTCATTCTCGCATCTGTGCAGGAGATTGGCTTCCATCACATCGGAGGTCTTTGCCCTGGCCTCAGAGACTGAAGAGACCTGGCAGGTGGACATTGCCTGGATATGGGTCAAGTCATTGAATGATTTAGTACCAAACATGGCCTAAAATTCTGGTCACCTGAATGCGGGTCTGGCTCCAAATGATCAAGCCCTACAAGGCCCTACAATTTGGGATGCCTTGATACCAAACAAGACCAATAGCAGAATATGGGTTGAGTGTAGTTAAGTTGGTTTAGAACTACAACGCTATTTATGATGGATATATACAGATTATACAGTCAGATGGGGTAAAGAGTTATAAGCCAAGTCATAAGCCAACTTACAACTAAGGGTCAACTTACAACTAGGGGACCCTTTCCTCAGTGGGTCCATTGAATGCCCCATTTTGGGTCGTCACACGCAGCCAACGCGTTTCCTGGCGAGGTCCAAAGCTTGCTCCGCGGTGCCAGCTGCACCGCCGACACGGCGGGAGGCCTGGTGGCTGTGTGCATTGCTGTCGGGGATGCCCAGGGTGGATGGATGGCAGAGGTTTCACCCATGGTGAAACCCCAAGGAAGGCCTGGCTTTCTTTGGAAATACCAGGATACATCTCAGACTTTGCTGGCGAATTTCCCATGGTATTTCCATGTATTTCATTTCACACACAAATGGCTATTTTAATCTATTTTATAGGTTTAACTTCTTTTCAGACTCTGACATTCAGAGAACCCGCATGGGAATATGGTGGGTAAATAGGACTCGGAAGTGGTAAGGGAATTGGGCAAACTCTGAAATTGGATGTTCAATGTTAAATACCGAGATTGATGAAAGATGGGGTTCGGGGTTCGCACAGGTTTTCACAACACGGTTGAGGTACTAGTTGGCCAATTTCTGGGTTCATGGTCTATTTGAAGCGGAAAAAAAAATAGGGAATCCAACCTGCATCTTCCATCATCTCATTTCTGAGGTGGCTCCACCCATCGAGTCGCATCGCATGGACAACTTTCAGATCTTTTTGGAGTTGTTGCAACAGAAAGCACCACGTTTGGCTATGAAGGCAGGGGCCCTTGCTGGATCTTTGGAGTGAAAAAACCTCGTTTCACTTAGCCATGGCCTGGAGATTCAACAATCGTAATCTTCCAGATGGTCCAAAAATGATGTTACCCTCTGGTAAACATACAAAAAGCTATGGAAAATCACCTAATTTTTCATGGGACAACTCACTATAAATGGTGATTTTCCATAGCTTTTTGTATGTTTACCAGAGGGTAAGTTGGGCCTTGGTAGCCCCACTTGCGGGGCAGAGCTCTGCTGCCAAAGGCTGTTCCTGGCTCTGCAAGGAGTGTGGCAGCTCTGCTGACGCAGGTCCGAAGGGTGGACAGCACAGGGCAACATCGACATCATGGCAGCGCCGTTTACGGAAAGGAAATAAATGGAAAGAATGGTTCCTATCCAAGTGGATGGTAAA